GGACAGCAGGGAGCCAAACAAAAACATTCGTTGGCCCGTTGAAACAGAAATGAAAAACGGAAACGGGCAAAAAAGACGCAAAACGTCTTTGGTCATGTTGTGCTTCCCCAGCGGCCAGCGTCTTTTCCCCTTTTTCACCTCTTAACACCCGTGGCCAGGGAGCTTCTGCTTGCCTGCGGTTTCCCTGGCATTGCCTGGATTTTGAGAGGGAACCATCCTGGTTTTGCTCGTTTATCAGATCTTTTCCTCGTTTCGTCTTCGTCTTTTTTTCTGGTTGCACCCACCCCCTTGGGGTTGAAGGAAAGATCTTATCTGATCCGAGATTTTGATCCGATATTTCACCTCTCGAATACCAAGCCCGCCAACTCCACCGTTATTGGACCTCGGGCCGGGAGCTTCAATGGTTCTTTGTTCACCGCACTGTTGGCGGATTGCGTCCCATTGTTGATTAAGTTGAACTTCTCACTGCCCATTCGCAAAACTCTACTGGAATAGAATTTCCGGCTTCATCAAGATAAGTCTAGTCTACCAGGCCCATTCACCACTTCATCTACTATATCCAAGTCTTCTTAGTCTTCGGAATTCCCAAATTCACGACACCATCTCCAACTTCCAAGTGGACCTCCGTTTTCCAGATCCCACATTCCTCTTACGTACAAGACCGACAGACATGCACCGCTGCAACCCTCCCTGCTGTAACCCTGCCGCATATGCATGGCGTTTTCCTTTCCTCCCATTAACAGTGCGAGTTGCACAGCGGCAGGCACTGGATCAGATGTCTGCTCTTGCCTCCGTCTTTGCATTATCTGATGATCAGATAAAAAAAATTGCCTCCTCCTCACCCTTCTTGGAGATGTTGGGGGAGGCAGGGGGGGAGAGAAAGGGTGACGGCCCGGGATCGGATTTACGGTTCGGTCGACGGCGGAGGTGATGGAAGCGGCGCCGGGGTGAAAGGCGGAATGTTGACGACGAAGGAACACTGACTGGCCTAACTGAGAAATAGGCAAGTGCCAGCTGTTAACGTCAACGATGACTGTTTCTTGAGTTCTGCTTTTGGGCTGAGGTTACGGTTTTACTCGTGCATGTTGCTCCTGGGCTTGGATGGCCGATATCACTCGAAGCTGGGTCTTGCCTGGACACCTGTAGTCTATCACGATGCTAGGCCTTGGTCTCATTGAAATGTGAAAGTCACAGCTCGCACAGCTGTCATGGGGGTATTTATTGTAGAGAAAACCTACCCACACACACCCCCATTCCTATACGTATACACCTTCCCCTCCCGACAGCTGGCATATAAATATAGTCGTTTTATATAGTAAAATTGAGTTTTCTGATGTCTGATAAGCGGGTTAGATTCGCTAAATCTGTTAGAGTGCTAGAGTTATAATACTTTCGTAGTATTGAGTTTCGAAACCACGCGTTCAATATAAATCTAGCCGTATAGTTCAAATCTATCTCTTGTTTATTTACTTGGTGATTTCTATTCCTTATCGTCACTAATTACGATAGGGTTCTTATTACTACCCTTTCTCCTATACTATATAAAAACTGGGTTAAATTACTCTTGTTGTTAGCGTAGCTTTCTTTATAATATATATTGGTTGTAAAGTTATTCTAATCCTAACCTTTGTTATTTGCCTATCGACGATGTTTCTTATACTTTTCAAAATCCTATGCCGTTTTAATATTAAATAAATGATGAAAATATTTGTAATACCTATTAACGAAGGGATTGTAATACTAATATTATTTTTACCCCTATCGCTACTATATTAAAGGATGTATAAAATTAATTTTTAGCTTCACTTTTAGTTATAATTTAAAGTAATTAAAAAAACGATTTTTACGCTATTCTACTTATTCTCTATCCCTCTTGAAAGCTACCCTATATAAGGGTTCTATTTTATGAGGTAAATTCTTTAAAAAGTAGTATAGAGGAGGGGGGAGGGTATAAGGGGCAGCCTCCTTCTATTCCTATCCTTCCTTAGCGAAGTAGGTTTATTATTATTTATTTATAAATAGCTTTAGGGTTTTATTATCCTTAGCTATTTGTATTTATGGTTCCTTCTTATAGAGAGGAATAAAATCCTCTTCTAAATTCGACTTTTGAGAGTTATAACCGATTTCTACCCTATTAAAATAAGTAGCGTCGTTATATAGGATTACGAGAAGTAGTTATTCTTTAACGGGGAATGAGGATTGCTGTATAAAGAAGGGGGAGAAGGATTTCAATAAAGGGAGGAACGGGGTGTTAAATAAAATAGAGATACTAAAGTTAGAATCTAAGTCGATATTAATACTTCCCTTAAAGTTGAATTCAAAGTTAAGAATAACGATATAATTAATAATAGGGGTAGGCTCCCTTAGCTAATTAGGTTTTAGCTAGACTACCTTCCTTATTACCCTCTTAATCGCCTTTTTAGTACGTAATTGTATAGTTGTTTGAAAATTTATAGCGTTAAGAGTTTTAATATTATTGCCCAATTTATATTAGGAATAGTTATACGGTATTAAAGTTTATATAGGGGTAATATCTTTTGATTTATTGCGCGGGCTAATAGGTTAAGAGGAAGTAGGTTAAGAGGCGGGCTAGGAGGTAAATGGTTGTACGACGAAAATACGGTTTTTACTAAATAGGCTACCCTTATTATAAGGGCGACCTTTAGGTACCGTCTTAGTGGTTAATTTGAGGGAGAGATATTTATTTACTGAATTTTTTATAGAGAATTAATATAAGGATAACCGGATAGGAGATTTATGTAAATAGAGAAGCGTTACCCTAATTTAATTTAAATACTAATATAAATAATAATTATTCATAATAATTTAAATTATACTTTCTTTATATAAATATACTATTTCTATATCGTAAGTACAAAGTAGAAAATATTATTTATTAAAATAGCCGGTATAGGGGGAGAGAGGGACGCCGTTGTTGATAATTACGCCGTCGCGTATAGAAGGGAGTACTACGAATAGGAAATAATATTAGTAGTCTAATAAATTTAATACCTATAAAAATATTTCTAAATAGTAATTATTAAGCTAGCCAATATTAGTCTATTTAATACGTACCCGCATTATTAATTTACTAACAACCGTATTATAATATCGATATCAGTTATTAATATACTACGTATTAGCTTTGTAGAAGTTAATGAAACTGCTGCGAACTGATAATTAATACGATTTGAATAAGCTATTATTAGATTCGTTTAGCGATATAATCTTTTACTCGTAATTGAAATAATTTATTGTATAGTAGCCCGCCTAATTCTCTTTAATAGGGAGATAATTATTTGTGATATATTTAAATAACAGTTTCTATAATTCGCCGAACTTATTAATAAATATTACGTACGCGTGTTCAAAACTTTCTACCGAAGAATTATAAATTATATATTATTATATAAAGAATAATAAGGTACGTATAATAGTAAATTCGCTCTTGTAAAAGGATTTAAATGCTTTATTAATTCTCTTCATTGTACGTACTTTTTTATAAAGATATACGAACTTGCGGATATTGAAGGTATTTTAATTAATATTGGTATTATTATTTAATTCGTTTAATTCGCTATTAAATAAAGAATATATTTCCTTATTAAAATTCTTTTTACCGTTACTGTCGATAATTAATATGTTGTCGTCCCCCTTTTCCTTATTATTTTACTCTCCCCCTACTACGGGTGGGCGCTGCTGGAACTTCTCAATATTTTTAATAATATTATAATTGAAATAGTAAATATATTGCTATAGAATAATACTATTAGGGAAGAAGAATTATAAAGCGCTAATAAATTATGCATTTCTATTAATTATAACGACGCCTGGCAAAAGGTTTTTATAGCGCGCGCTATCTCTATAATTTAAGTAATAAAATAAGTAAATCGCTTTTCCTTTTTATTATTAAAAACCGTTTAGAATATAAGTATAGAAGTCTTTTATATATTAGAATAATACTTTATACTAAGGGGAGGTATTAATAAATAATTTTATATATAGTATTAAGTATAATTATAAATAGGCTCCGTATTTATATTTTACGTCATTAATTTATGAATTAAAAGGCGTTCGATAATATAAATTTTTCGTCGTCCTCTTAATTAATATAATAGTGCGCAATAATTTTATTGTTCTTTAATACCCTTACGAATGCCTATATATCCTAATACTCTATTCGAAATAACTGTTTAAATCATAGCCGTATATTATTGAAGTTTTTATATATAATAAAAAGGTGTGGGTACAAGTCTTTAATTAAAGAATAGACGGATCGGATAATTAATTCCCTTCTTTCGAATAGAGTATTAATTTAATTAGCTGCCTCTAAATTTAAAAAGAATATTTTCTCTTATAATAAAAAATGGGTATTGAGGTATTTAAATAGTGGGTAGCTATTATAAGTATTATTAATTATAATTAGAGTTTATTGCTAATTAGTTGCTGCGGTCGCAAATATCGTAGTATAAAATAGGTAATTTAGAACGATCTTTTTAAACGTTCGTTATTGTTTACTTTAGGGATTTGTATGAGGTTACGGTCGATATGAGGTATATTCGTATTAGTAGAAGTAATGAGCGGTCGTATTATATATTAGGTAATTGGGGTTCTTAATTTTATATTTGTAAGAATATTAAATTATAATACTAAAACGATTTTTCAAGTAGAAAGTTATTAAATTGTAGTAAGCATCGGTAATAGTATTTTTAGGAAGGAATGTAGTATATAATATAATTATTTCTTATAGATTATGGTAAAAGGAGGAATTAGATACGAAAGTAGTGATATTATCTGTAGGTAATAGCGTATATAATACTATTTATAAATAATCTAATTAATTAAATATAAAGAAAGACAATCGAGGTACGTACGATTAAATTATATACTATTAATATTAATAATATAGTATTATAATATTATAGTAGATCGATGTTGTGCGTATAAAAGTTGTTAAGTTTGTACGACCCTAGAAATCGAGAAATTTTAATGAAATATTACGTATATTAAAAATGCGAAATTTAGCAAGTAAAACGGGTCTTTTCAATGCAGATGTTATGAGCTGGTACGAGCTGTTAGGGTAAGGGTTATGTATGGAGGGTGTGTGCGTGTAGGTTTCGAGGTGTGTGTGGGTAGGTTTCGAGGTGTGTGTGGGTAGGTTTTCTCTTATTGTATCCTTCAAATCGTACACGCTCTTCACATCATATCAGCGTGCAGTACTGATGCGTACTTTTTATCCTTCCCTACACCTTTCCCATTGATGTTCATCCCTTACAACCCAGTCTTCGCCGGGGTCTTGATCATGAGTGGCACCTCAACATCCGTTTCCGTCCCCAGCACGGACTTGCTATGAATCACCCTCGCACTCTCCTCCGGCACCCTCACGAAGCCCATCTTCTTGTACAGACCCTCAGCAGACGCCGAAGACTCCAAGTAGATGGGCAGATTGCTGTCGTTGCTCAAGTTGATGAGCTGCTTGACAATCATCGCGCCCGCACCACGGCCCTGATGCTTGGGGTCTACCGCGATGGCGTGGACATCTGTCGCAACACATTAGCTCACCAAACCTTCCCACAAGAGTCCATGAAGTTGAAAAGGACCTACAAATATAAGACCCATCACCCATAACCTTCTCCCTAGCCTCACAAAGCGGCGCAAGCACCTGATCCGCCCTCTCCCTCTGCTCGCCCTCCAACCACGGAATGCCAGGATACGCCCTCTCCTCTTTCGTCCTAGGCTTGATGAACACATCGCACAACGCCATGCCGACGATCTCGCCCGTGGCAACGTCCACGCACTTCCACGTGTACTGCGACTCGGCCTTGTGCAGCCATGCTAGCGTTCCTTCCGTGTGCGCCTTGCGGAACTCTTCAGAGGTGTAGCCGCCGGGAAAGAGGATCTCGAGGATCTTGCGCCCGTCGGCGTCGGCGGTGAAGGCGGCGAAGTAAGCGTCGTAGACGGGCTTGATGTCCGGGATGAGGGCGGGGAGGACGGCGAAGGGGGTGGGCATTTTGGCTGTATGTCTGATGTCTGATGGAGGAGGCTTGGGGATGTCTAGGTAATCTGATCTGATATGATCTGAAACGAGACGATACGATCTGGTGATACTGATACGGATCTTGGTCGGATATCGGCTGTCGTATGTCTAGGCTTGCTGCAGGTAGGGTCCGTCGCTATGGATTCGAGATCTCGGGGTCGGATTCAGTTCAGTCGTGGAAAGCTCAACATATCACATCGAAACTTCGTTCGCAGGGGAAAACCATGCACACCCATCACCCCTAGAAATACTACCACCTCCGGCATCGCCAACTGCGTCAATCAGCCATGGAAACCATTGAAGCCAACCACCGACGCGCGTCGCTGTTGGCCAACATTTCGGTACCAGTATTGATCACTATCGTCTCCTGCGTCTCCAACAAGCGCAACATCTTTGAAGCCTGCCCTGCCAATTCCTGCTTGCAGAGCGGATTTGCGGGTCACACGCAGAGTACACTAGTAACGGACTATGGAGTGGAAGATGTGCGGATACGGCCTTGCGGCTTTTGCGGGCTTTGAGAGTGATTGTGGTAATGATCGTCGCTTTTTATGGATGTGACGCTGGAACGGTCCTCTCCTCCGCTTTTTGGCGGCATTTTGGTGGTGATGGTATGTACCGAAGCCGGCGGAGTTGACGGTTCGATGAGATACTGCACAGGCACTCGATCAACACTCAACCACAACACACGACACTCACAAGGGGAATCAAATCAACATGGCAAAGGTTGATGGCGTTTCATCGCGTGGTGGAGGTTGCCGGCGCAGAAGAATCTCAAAGCCGGCAAGGCGAACGGCTTGATGGAAAAACAAGAACATTCCCAACTTGGTCGGCTTCGTCGCCCACCACTGCAGTCGACGCCGCCCCCTTGTCACCGTTTGTTTTGTTTTTCACGAGCCTCCGTTTTGCGGTCCCAATGTTTACCCCACCATGGCAAACGCAAACGGACCCCACACCCGACGGTGGAGGAGCCGGAAGGAAGGGACAGGGGAGCGACCAAAAATTTCTCAGACCCCGTGTTCATTGGCCAATCGCGTGATCGGATCCGAGACGACTGGGCAAAGTTGCTCGGCCGAGTTGACGGCATTTGAAGATTGAACATCTGAACAGTTGAAGGACAAGTCTTTACTTGGTCATGTCACAAGTGTGGTGTCACAAGCTCTCTCTTAAAGTATGGAGAGGGGGAAAAAAGGTGAATGTGTCACACTCCAATCTGCCTCTTCCTTCCCGACCGAGCATGGTTGCCCCGAAGGAGTCCCACGTTCCCGCCTTGTCAACGTCTCACAATCCCGGATCAAATCTTATCAGATGGTGATGATCAAGGATGAAACTTGATGATCCATTCGGATCTTTTACCCTTGGCGAACACATCATGCAATACCTATGTCCACACCCTATACCATACCTCCGGCCGTTGAACCACACACCATCCTACGTACGCAGCCGGCGCTTCAGCAAGCACAGCACACGCGGATGAGGAGGAGGGAACCTTGGTCGAACCTACCGATGGACGGGCGACATCCATGAACAATCACCACACTTCCGATGCGCGGTGCCGTGCTGTGCGGAGTGGGGCGATCATTCTCATTGAAGCGGGGATTTTTTCCAGTGAAAAGAGCCTCACCGTCATCGTCTTTCCGTTCTTGAGTGAGAATAGAGAGTAAACATACACACACGGCAGGCGGGAATAGACTCACACACACACATCACGCCGTCAACCACAGCCCTTTCCCATCTACCCACCAAGACGGATACTCCATCCTGTCCCGTCCTCATCTCGCCGCCCGCTTATCTGTCTGCCTCATATTGTCTAATCCATCCATTCATTCAAGCCGTCCCGTGACGTTACCACCTCATCTTATCCCATCTTATCCGTCCACTCATTGCAACGGCAACGACACGCGCAAGAGCGGCAGTAATACGCCTCTCTCCAGCATACCCATCGAGTACCATAGCTCCGTACTCCCAAAAAGAAACCAGTAACACACCATCACCATGCAACAAGTCGTGCAAGGAGCCCTCTCTTTTCTCGGCCTCACTAGCCAGAGCAACAGCAACACCCACCTCTTCGACACACTAGGTCTGGAGACAGTATCCCGACCACTATCACTACCATCACAAAACGACGTCTCCTTGGTAGACGCCTCCCTTCTAGCATGGCTGTTGCTTCTCCAGAGAAAGGGAGAAGATGATCGGGTAGAGAACTTCAACTGGGGACGGAGAAGTGCTGATGGGGCGGAAACGTCGTCACAGTTCTCTGTCAAGTCGGCGCTTGGATCTGAAGGGCTGGATCAGGCGGCGAGTGTGAAGATTGTGCTTGAGGCGCTGAGGAAGGTTACCGGGCAAGAGGTGACAGAGGAGAACAGGAACAGGACGCTGTTCTTTAACGATGGAAAGGAGGCGCCGGAGAAGATTAAGGAAGAGGGATATGAGACTGCTCAGCGGCCGGTATGTTCTCTCCTGTCAATGAGCCTGAGATGCCGTGACTAACATGATTACCAGAACTGGACATTCCAACTTGAGCTCCTCCCATCGGAAGATGAGCAACAACAACTCACCCTCCAAGCCTACTGGTTCAAGAACGTCCCCGACGCTCTCACCACTTCGCAAGTTACCATCCGCCTGAACGCTTTCACCGAGCTCCTGGCCTCCATTCTGACCAAGCCCTCGGAGTCCATCTCCTCCCTCCTCACCCCTCTCCCCTGCGACCTCAACCAGATCTGGGCCTTCAACGCCGTCGTGCCCCCCTTGATCGATCGCACCATGCAGGACATCATCTCCGAGCAAGCCGCCGCCAACCCCTCCAAGCCGGCCGTCTCCTCCTGGGACGGCGAGTTCACCTACGCCGAAGTGGAGTCGAAGTCCGACCTTTTGGCCCGCCACTTGGTCTCCCGCGGCGTCAAGCTCGGCGGCGTGGTCCCTCTGATGTTCGAGAAATCCCGCTGGACCATCGTCGCGCTCTTGGCCGTCATGAAAGCCGGCTCGGCATTTGCTCTCACCGACCCCACCTCTCAACCTGAAGGCCGTTTGCGAGTGATGGTCGAGCAGACTGGTGGCGATATCATCGTCGCTTCTGCTTCTCAGACCAAACTCGCCGAGGTCTGTCTCCCTTCCTCTGGCCAGGGACAAGTCATCACCGTCTCTGACGAGCTTTTCACCACCCTCTCCTCTGATTCTACATGGACCCTTTCAGAGGTGACCCTCCCCGTCATCCCCACAGAAACAACCCCCCTCTACATCCAATTCACCTCCGGCTCCACCGGCAAGCCCAAGGGCGTCGTCATCTCCCACGCCAACTACACTTCCGGCGCCCTGCCTCGCGCCGAAGCAGTCGGTTACAAGTCTTCTTCGCGCTGCTTCGAGTTCGCGTCCTACGCTTTCGATGTCTCCATCGATTGTATGTTCTGCACTTTGGCTGTCGGCGGAACGATTTGCATCCCATCGGACGCTGATCGCATGAACGACCTCGGCGGGGCTATTGTCAAGTCAGGGGCGAACATGGCGCATATGACGCCCTCTGTTGCGAGAGTGCTTGATCCCGAAGTTATCAAGGGTCTTGATGTGCTTGGATTGGGTGGTGAGGCGGTATCTGCGGCTGATGCAGCTGCTTGGTCCCGTGGCAAGACGTCGGTGATTGTGGCTTATGGACCTAGTGAGTGCACGGTTGGATGTACCGTCAACAATGTTTTCGCGAGAGATGAGGAGGCCAAGAAGAAGGGGTTCACTACCGGAAACATCGGTACCGGCGTCGGCGGGTGCGGATGGGTCGTTGATCCCAATGATCACGACCGCTTGGTGCCCGTGGGAGCAGTGGGTGAGTTGCTCATGGAGGGTCCGGTCGTTGGACTTGGCTACCTCGGTGAAGAGGAAAAGACCAAGGAGGTGTTCATCGAAGATCCCAAGTGGCTCGTTGCTGGCCATGGTGATGCCCACCCCGGTAGACACGGAAGGCTGTACAAGACTGGTGATTTGGTCCGGTACGATGCCGATGGCTCGGGGGCTTTCGTCTTTGTTGGACGCAAAGATGCCCAGGTGAAGCTGAGAGGTCAGAGAGTGGAGCTGGTTGAGATTGAACACCATCTCCGTGCTAAGTTGCCGGCGGGCGTGAAGATTGCTGCTGAGGTTATCAAGCCTAGCGGTGGTGATCCTACGCTGGTTGCTTTCCTGGCGGAGACTAGCTCGACGGGTATCTCGGCCAAGGACGCTTTGCAAACTGTTGTGGAGGGCGAGCTTACTTTCTCTCCTGAGCTGCAGGCTGCGCTGGATGGTATCGAGGAGGCCCTTGGCGTTGATCTGCCTCGGTACATGGTTCCTAATGCCTACATCCCCCTCCGCGAGATGCCCTCGCTGGTGTCGGGCAAGATTGATCGCAAGACGCTGAGGGCTATGGGTGCTGCTATGACCAGGGAACAAGTCTCAGGAAGCGCAAAGAGGGCCAGACAAGGTGGTGAGGGCGGTGCTCCTACCACCGAGATGGAGATTGCCCTTCACAAGGTCTGGAAGCAGCTGCTTGGTACCGAGCAGGAGATTGCGGCTAGTGATAGCTTCTTTGCTGTCGGCGGCGATTCTCTCAGGGCTATGAGGCTGATCGCTGCTGCCAGAGCGGAGGGTGTTAAGTTGACTGTTGCCGATGTTTTCCGGTATCCCGTCCTCAGAGACATGGCTGTTGTCGCTACCAAGGTTGACATCCAGAATGCCGATGGCAAGGACAGCAACGAGGTTGCTCCCTTCTCGTTGCTTGAAGCCGATTGGGCCGTCGAAGACGTCAAGGCCGAGGCCAGCAAGCACTGCGGTATTGACAAGGACGCCGTCGAGGACGTCTACCCCTGCACTCCCCTCCAGGAAGCCCTCATGGCTCTGTCAGCCAAGGTCAAGGAAGCCTACGTCGCCCAGCGTGTGCTCAAGATGGAAGGCCGAGCCGCCGCCGACAAGCTCAAGGCCGCCTTCGAAGCAATCAACGCCGACTGCGCCATCCTCCGCACCCGCATCATCCACTCCCCGCGCGGCCTGATGCAAGTCGTCGTCAAGGAGCCTCTGCACTGGCACTCCGCCCCTACCCTCGCCGAGTACCTCGAGACCGACCGCAACGAGGAAATGGACCTCGGCAAGCCTCTCGTCCGCTACGGCCTCATCCAGGACGGCGACGCCTACCACTTCGTCCTGACCATGCACCACGCTTTGTATGATGGCTGGTCCATGCCCCTCGTCGTCGACCGCGTCAACCAGGCCTACCAGGGCCTCGTCCCGCGCAAGCCCGCGGCGGAGTTCAAGCACTTCATCAACTACCTCAACAACTCGCTCGACCGCGCCGCCTGCGACGCCTACTGGAAGGACCAGCTCGCCGGCGCCACCGGTCTGCAATTCCCCGCCTTGCCATTCGAGGGTTACCAAACCCGTGCCGACTCCCTCTGGGAGCTGTACGTCTCCCTCGACGGCCGCAAACCCCCTTCTTCCCCGAACACGACCATCACCCTCGCCACTATCGTCCGCGCTGCCTGGGCCCTCGTGGCAAGCCAGTACACAGCCGGTAACAACGACATTGTCTTCGGCGAGACGTTAACCGGTCGTAACGCCCCCATCGTGGGCGCGGATGAGATCGAAGGCCCAATGATCACCACCGTTCCTGTGCGCGTCTGCGTCGATCGCGAGCAGACTGTCGCCGAGTACTTGCAGCAGGTGGCAGAGCAGATGATCACCCAAATCCCCTACGAGCACGCCGGTCTGCAGCACATCCGTCGCTTGTCCGATGACGCGCTGCAAGCGTGCGAGTTGAGGACTGGTATCGTCCTTCATCCCGCTGCGGGCGAGGTTGGCGTTACGGAGAACACGCCCGCGACAGGCCTCGTCCCCGCTGGCGACACTGAGGCGGCGCAGGAGGCGTTGAAGTTCAATACCTATGCGTTGATGCTGGTTTGCTCGCTTGAGGCTGATGGGTTCCTTGTCATGGCGTCTTTTGACTCCAAGACGGTGGAGATGGATGTTGTTAAGAAGGCTTTGGATCAGTTGCAGGTGGTGGTGAGGCAGTTGTGTGAGGAGGGCAGTGGGGAGAGGAAGGTGGGCCAGTTGGAGTGCTTGACTGAGAAGGATCATGAGGAGGTGAAGAAGTTGGCGGGTGTTAAGAACCTCGCTGCTGAATCGGATCCGTTCGCTGCGGGCATCATCGAGGAAGATTTGGAGGGTGTCTGGATTGTTGATGCTGCTGATGTTGGCAGGCTTGTGCCTGTTGGTGCGGCGGGCGAGCTCGTAGTTGAGACCAGCAAGGAGCTTGCTGCGCCTGCGGCTCTTCTCGCTGAGATTCCGGCCTGGTACACTGGCAGCAAGAAGCTCTACAAGACCGGCCAGCTCGCCAAGTTCAAGGTTGACGGCGATTCTGCCTCCCTCTGCATCCTCAAGGCTTCCGAACCCAAGACCGAGGTGGCCAAGAAGAAGGTTGCTTCCTCCGTCGCTCCCTCCGCTGTTGCTGCCACTTCGGCCAAGCAGAAGACTCTGCGCAAGATTTGGGCCAAGCTGCTCAAGGTCAAGGAAGATAACATCTACCTCGGTGACAGCTTCTTCAACCGCGGTGGTGACTCCATTACTGCCATGAAGTTGGTGTCAGAGGCACGCCAGCAGGGTCTCAAGATCAGCGTTGCCCAGGTGTTTGCCAACCGCACGCTGTTCGACATGGCCAATGTCATGCAGACCACCGGTGCCGTGGTTGACGGTTCGGAGAAGATTGAGACCGAGTATAAGCCTTTCTCTCTCCTCGAGGACGACAAGGACAGCATCCTGGAGGTCGTCAAACAGTCCCTGGCCGACAAATCCTGGACCGTCGCCGACGTCCTTCCCACCCGTCCCCTCCAGGAGATCGCCGTCCGCGGCACCGTCGAGCTCCCCCGTTTCTCTCTCCGCTACGAGCTGATGCACTTCAACGCCATGGTCGACAAAGCCGCCCTCTTCCGCGCCTGCCACGAAGTCGTCGCGCGCAACGAGATCCTACGCACCGTCTTCGTCCGCGCTGGCGGTTCCGACGCCTCCAACACCTGCTACGGCGTCGTCATCGACAACCTAGCCACGTCCATCGCCTCCTACGAAACCGACAACGCCTCCGTCAAGGACTTCGCCGCCCAAGTCTGCCGGCTCGACTCGCAAACCCGCATGCCGTACGGCTCCTCCTTCGTGAAATGGTTCTTCGTCACCAACGGCACTTCATGCTCGCTCGCCTTCCGCCTGTCGCACGCCCAATACGACGAGATCTGCCTCCCCATCATCCTGCACCAGTTCCACCAGCTGTACCTCGGCTCCCCACAGTCCTCCTCCATCCCGCCCTCCTACCCCTTCTCGCACTTCGTCGCCCACACTATCCGCGACTCCATCCCCGCCGCCATCCCCTACTGGCGCAACCTCCTGTCTGGCTCATCGGGCATCACCCGCTTCCGCCCCTCGGCGCCCATCACCTCGCGCAAGCACCACGCCATCCACCGCGCCGTCGACATCTCCGCGCGCTCGCGCGACGTCACCGTCGCCACTTTGCCTTCAGCAGCCTGGGCACTCGCTCTCGCCCGCCACGTCAAGTCCGCCGACGTCATCTTCGGCGAAGTCTCCTCCGGCCGCTCCGTTGACGTCCCCGGCGTAAAGGATACCAACGCCGTCACCGGTCCTACGTGGCAATACGTGCCTGCGCGCGTCAAGTTCGACAACCCCTCCAAACCCATTCGCACGGGCCATGACTTGTTGGCAGAGCTGCAGACGCAGCACATGGCTTCTTCTGCTTATGATTGCATGGGTTTGGAGGAGATTGTGAGGACTTGTACGGAGTGGACCCTCGAAAAGGATATGTGGTTTGATACGGTGGTGCATCAGGATGTGGCGCATGTGGAGAAGCTCGAGTTCTCCGCCGGGGAAGAGAAGGATGGACGGCAGGAACAGGGAGCGAAGGCGGAGTTTGAGACGCTTTATTGTTATGAGGAGCCGTTGAGGGAGTGGAAGGTGCAGGCGTTTAGGGATGAGAAGGGCGAGGAGATGGTGTTGGAGATTGTTACTATGGAGTGCTGGAAGGAGGAGGCGGAGGTTGTGCTGGGTGAGGTTTGTGAGGCGTTGAAGCAGTTGGTGGAGAGGCCTTGGGAGGAGTTGGATGTTGCCTACTAAGGTGGAGGAGTGAGGTCTTGTTTGTTTGTGGTGAACAAGGGCCATTGTTGCGGTTTCTTCTTGGGTCCTGTACATGGGGTTTTGTTTGGCAAAACCTGCCCGCACCTTACGATATCCTACACGTACCCTACGAATTTCGAAATTTTCCTGTATTATCAACTACCACGACTAAATCAGCGTCCAAAACCTCATTTCCCAAAATCGATAGCGCATATCCCATATACTAAAGAGGTTTTCTTTTTGACAATACTTGTTCCCACCCCATTATTAGCAAGTTTCTTCCCAATTACATCTATAGTGCCCTCTTCTACAACTGGCTCTCAATGATTATATTTGAAGGCTCTCCAAAGAATATCGAAGCTCGAAATAGGATAGTATAGCCTGAACGCTTTCCTGAATACCTCTATCTGACAGGTATGGCCTGAATTGGGTAGAAAATTCAGGGGGGCTGTAGGAGACAGGGTACGTATAGGAAAGCGTAGGGTGCGGGCAGGTTTTCCCTTTTGTTTCGGTTCTTGATTATCTTGGTGGTTTGTTCCTGTTTGGTTTTTTGTGTTGGGATTATCGCATCATGCTTTGGATTCTTGATTCTTGAATAGTTTCGTGTACATATTTCGTTAAGTGCATTGATGTTTTCCTCTTCAACCGACGTAGGTGCCGTTCAGTCGCTGGTCCTCAATGATACCGCCACCACCAACGGCTCAAGACTTTTTACACTTTCCGCGCCACAAATTCTGCCGTCGATAGTTTCTCTTGAGGCGCACGGGAGCAAACCGCTTTATCGATCACGACGGCCTCCCCCACGGTTGTGATGTTCGCAGAAATCATGTATGCCAACAAGACGCCACAAAATGAAGGCCGTCGTGATGTCAACTTGGTTGGAAGGTGAGGTGTCCTGGGCCGGTGGAGGTTATCGTCAAGAGAACTCGATAAAGTACATAAGGCCAACCTCCTCGGCGCCCAAGCTCATCCATCTCATGCATCCAGCACATCATCATCCCCAGTGAAAGCATCACTCCCTCACCAACTTCTCAAAGCCTTCAAAGCCAACCAAAATGTTCTCCAAAACTGCCATCCTCAGCCTCCTGGCCCCTCTCGCGCTCCCATGCGTAAGTCTCTATCCACGGCCTTCTCCTCTTCTCCATTCGCCATATCTGACCTCCCATTTCCGTCAACAGCTTGTCATGGTGCATGCTCAAGGTCTCTTCGAACTCCCACCCGACGTCGTCTACCAAATCACCTATAGACCTGAACCTTCTCCTTTTATTAGTGTGCCGCCTTTGAAGGCACGCGATGCAGGGAATGAGGAGGAGGAAGGATCAGAGGGCATGGAGGGTGTGGAGGGTAATCTGAACCTGAATGTCGATGTGCCCACCACTTTGGTTACGGCTGTTAGGCCTGGGAATACCGATGCTTTGGTGTGGGAAGGGGAGAGAAATAAGGGGAGGTAGGGGTGGAGAATACCTCTACGAAGAAAGGCAGAGGAATTGAAGGGAAGAAGGGAGTTAAGAGGAGGGGTGAGTGGAACAGATGGGCATGGAAGGATGGGAAGAGAAGGAAATAAGGGGGTTATGTCCTGGAGGAATGGGCAACTGTCTTTGGGTGTAAGGGTGGTAGGAGCAGTGGATGTAATTACGGGAGTCGGTGTTAAGGAACTTGTGTATCGAAGACGGGCCGATGTATGAACGGTAGGACGTCGTCTTCGGCTCTTCGCGTGTCCATTAATTCGGGAGTCTGCGGGGACGTCAGTGGGTTCCCAGTCTTTGATGGTTATTTCCATGCCAGATTGAATGTCATGAATGGCCCTAGTTCCAATGATAAGCTTCAAATTGGTTTTCTGCTCCGGTGGTCCCGATGGGACGAGTTGCTGCTGCTGATGTGGAGGTTGTGACAGCATCGGGAAACTCACCTTTTGATTACCCTACCGCAATCGCCCCTCCACTTGCACTTGCGCATAAGCGAACACTTTAACCATTTTGCAGATTTCGTAGAAATTTAGTCCCGGTTGTTTTGCAGGCACGATATATGTTGATGATGGTTCTTTCCCCGAGTGTCGTTGGCGGTGCACTGCCCGGTGGCCCGCTATGCACTTACCTCAAGCCCCGGCCCGACGGCCGACAAAAAATGGGCTGTTATCAGCAAACCAAGGTTTACTTTTGTTTTTGCTGGCTTTAAGCTTGAATTATTCCCAACGCAAGCCCAATCCTGCAATCAGCTAAAGGTGACGTCCCCAAGCGCAGTTTTAAGTAGAACAACTCAAATCCCAGATTGCCAGTCAAGTTCTCCGGTTGCACTAACAGCGCAACACTGTGTGTAAGCAAGCAATCTGTTAGTGTCACCAGCACACTCACTCTCTTGGTGACCGGCACATGACACTCACCTGCCATGTTCTGTGAAACCTCGAGGCAAACAAGCCGTTTCCGGGAGATATATGTACACATCTTCAACACCACTGGCCAATTGCCTCAAACACTCGGGTCGTATGAACCTCAAAGCGTTTCGCTTGTGTTTCTTCCCGTGTTGCCTGTCATAGCTGTCAAAGACACATGATGTTGTTTGGGGTTCGACATTTTCGACTTTTAAACGGGGTACCATGTGGTTCGTACATCTTCTTTTCCCGGTCTTTGTTAAACCATGAGTGCTATGTTGCAACGCACCATATAAAGGTCATTGCCCTTCCTGTTAAAAGTCAGTAGTACTTCGTTCGCCCATAAATGAACGCCTTCAACTCTCGTCTCGCAGTCTCGTCTCGCAGTTCCGCTTCTCATCATATTCCAATGAAACCATTCAGAAACAACTCCCCAACCAAACAACCACAACAATGTCCTCCCTCAAATCCCTCCTCTCACTCGGTCTCCTCTCCCTCCTCCAGTACCATGCTGCTCTCGCTCTCCCCACCAGCGAGCCCCAGACCTCAAACTCCCTAACCCCTCGAGTAATGATCCCCAACGACCCAAACTTCGACCCCAACCACCCCGTTCTCAACCCCAACAACAAGCCCAACACCACCGAGTACGCCACCACCGACTGGCCCCATTACGACGTCACGCTCATCTGCCCTTCTCCGCGCGCGCCGGACTTCGGGTCCACCTCCGGTGCGTGGAAGATCCTGAACCATCTGAAGACGTTGGAGAATGGACCGCCTCTCCCTGGTGTTGAGCACGAGGATGGGTGTAGCAGAATGGGATGTCAGGAGGGACTGGGGGTGTTTTGGTGTGTTAGGAATGTGAGTTTTTTCTGTTCTTTTCCCTCCTTGAGTTATGTGCAGGCTGGCATGCTGGATGTTTTTGTGTGGATGAAAAGGGACGTTGGCTAACGGGCTATGTGATCAATAGGTGGCGTGGACCTACCATAATGCGCCGACTTACAAGACGCTTGCCGAGCAGGCGCAGATGGTGCTTGATCAGGAGAAGTGTAGGACGACGGATGCGACGAATACAAGGCCTTTGGTTGCTGGGGAGGCGCTGTATGGGGATGCGTGGAGTGTGATTTTGAAGGGGCTGGATTGTAAGGCAGGGCAAGAGTGAGCAGGGTGAGACTTGTCACTTTGGCAGAGTTCCATGAGGGTCGGAGAGTGTCTTAAAAGCATGGCGATGCTCATGTTGAGAGATGCTGTTAGCTTGCTTTAGCCCAATGATATCTTGTTTGTTTCTCAGCACCAGAACTGCGGCTTATTTAAGGTCAGAAAGTGGAAAATCGCTGGGATATGATAGACAAATACCATGCGGTGATATTTCAGCTGTCCACTTTTGGTTGGCAAAAAGGAGAAAAGGCAAAAAAAGAAGATTACCAAGCGCATCGGTCTGGTGCGGTAGACCGTCGACCACCTTGATACTCATTTGTTGCTGTTCGTGTTTCGTCGTCAGTGGTTGAATCCCTTTTTATAATTATGGGATGCCCTTTTGATCATTATGAGCTCTGACATTGGCGGTGTTCGATTGACGGTTTGGTCTCTTTTTGTAATCATGAGACAGTTGTCGGTTGTTTTCGAGTTTTGGGGTGGTGAACGGTTAACCGCTGCGCCACGCGCCCAATCCGACTTGCTTGGTGGAAGGCGGACACTCCGAAGTAGTACATATACCAGAGGTGAAAGGTTGGGATGGAGGGGGGAGAAATGAAGCAGCTGGTTGGACGGCTGGACAGAGCAGAAGTTGGGATGAAAGGTTGGGATGGAGGAGGGATGGATCGAACATTTCGTGGGCGGGTGTCGATGTCCACACGCCGTAGAGGTAATTTGACAGTGGGCCCCCAGCCGCGCTGCTGTTACCCCGCTATCGTTGTGCCACCAAATCCTGCGGGGGCGCAGATATCAGCGCATCTAAGCAACCACCCAGCCCCAGCAGCGCTCCACTTTTGACATCAAGATCAATCACTTTTCGTCATTCTCCCAGGACCCAAGCTCACCAACAAACCGCCCACTGCGGCCTTCTTTGTCATCCGGCCGCTCTTCTTTCCGCCATTGCACTTCAACTCCAGCGACGATACTCTCCCAATGGCGGCGGCATCTACATCAAGCAATCCTACACGACACTTCCCGATCCCTGGAAGCTGTCCCGTTCCGATCGCCTGACCTTCGCCGAAGCCCCGCGACTCGTCGACACGATCCTGCGCCTTGACTGCCCCGGCAACAAGTTCCGACTCCAATCTTACCGACGGCCGACATCCCCAAGTCTACAATCTCCGTCGGATGGACAGTTCGATGGTCAGCACCGACGTTTATACCTAGAGGAAATGTCTGCTCTGAAGGATCGAAGAAGCGGGCATGCGCAGCAGCACACCAACGAAACAGACGCTGTAAACTTGAAACATGGGAAGCAATCAACCGCCTCGTATGGCTGCCTACAAAATGCTCGATTGTTGATATCTAAATTGCCCCTGGCGGTCGTTGTGATCTCTGCCTGAATGGGGCACAACCTTCCATCTCTGTTCCGCCCTCTAATCCAGACACTGGCACTCCGACTGCACAGAAGTACGCTCGGACTAAAAAGCTAACAGCGACCATGTATTCGCCGACTTCCGTGCTTCGTCTTGCTGCCTTCGTGGCTCTTACTGTAAGCGCGATACCTTCTTCCCTACGCCCCAGAAGCCTACATTATCTAACATTCTCGTTCCTGTCCCAGTTATCTTCTCTCGTCCTAGCCGCGTCCCACTCGGTTGACATCCTTGACGGGCAAACTACGACTTAGCTCCCTGCCTACCTTTCCTCCAAGATCTTTAATAGCGATACCATCCTGAACGCACTGAGTGACTCTGAAAACAAGACTATAGAAGTGGATTGCTACTCCAGTTGGGCCAAACGATATGCTAAGGTCGTTGATCTCGTGGATAGTGTCAACTCTTTGAGCGAGGTGAAAGGCAAGCCCACGAGCGGCCCGGGACCGGGGAACTGCGATAAGATCATATGCATTGGGGGGTCTGCCGCGATTTATTGGTGTAAGGATGTTGGTCCCGCTTTTCCTTCTTTGAACATTTGCAATCCGGCGGGAACAGTCCAGTGGTTTACACCCAACGGTTCTTTGGAATGTCCATATCAATATCGAGTGACAGCTGGCTAACTCGGCAAACTGCTGACAGAATCCTCACGAGTTCTCGCTCCACACATACGCCGAGATCGCCTACGGGGCTCTGCTTGTCATGACCGACACCAAATGCTACGATCCTCATGGCGTCCAGGCGGGTGGAGGCAGTACCCTATCGCCATCACAGTATCGCAGGAAGAAGACCAGGCATATCTTTGGGGATATGGTGAAAGGGGAGGTCAAGTTCGAAAACGGGTGAACTGTTATGGTTAAGGGTGAGAACTGGTAGTGCCATGCCTTGATGGAGGACGGCATGTTGGAGGAGAACTAAGAGAGGGGCTGGACAAAGAGAGAGCAATGCAGGCTCGGCTAGGCCAACACTTCAGGCGCTGGCGGGTCTTTCAACAAACATAATCCTGAATATTGACGATTGCGGGTGGAATATTGGTCAATGACCACGAAAAGGCAAACCGAACCCGTCCCGCCGCTTTCACGAGATGAAGCCATTATACTTAATTGAGCGGGCCGTCAAATATTCACCCCAAGGACGGCCGAGGTTGACTCACTAGGAAACAACTCGGCTGTGATCTTCCCACTGGTTTCCAAATATATAAAATCTCCGAACACTCTCACCCATAAAACTTGAAACAACGAGGATCAAGATCTCAGTCTCAGACGCAGCTTGCCTTCAACCCTCAAAGTATCACAACCTTACTTATACACAGCCCTACCGTACCACCTCAACCATGCCTTACCACATCCTACTCTCCATCCTCATCTCTCTCCTCGCCATCACCCCCCACGCCAATGCCAACCCCCTCGCCCCCGGCGCCGGCCTTGACAACCGCAACCCCCAGTGGTACTATGGCCACCCTAACCATCACACTAACACCCGCAACCGGCCGCCAACAACCACTATGACGCCTACAACAACAACACAAACCATCACACCCCCAACGATCATATCAGTACCTGGCGTCACAACCGTCGAGGAAACCATCGACCTCTCCTTTTTCCCATCTACAACCACCACAATCGTACCGCCCACCATCATCTCAGTACCCGGCGTCACAACAGTCTACGAAACCGTCGATCTCGGAGTAACCAATCAGCCGCGTGGTACCGGCCGGTCACTCCCCGTTCAGCCTACCGCTTTCGTTGCGGTCATCAAACGGACTTGAATAGCTCAGCTACAGGTCAATGTGTCCCTGAGGTTGAATGTTAGAGTATAAGGCTGTGACGGACCAGGAGGTTGTGCGTTCGTTGAGGGCGGATGGAGTGTTGTTGCTTTGGAGGTTCCTAACGGCCGCAGTTGCTGAGTGCCCCTGGTGGGTGGGGACTACGGACGTTGTGGCAGGTGGTGATGGAGACGGTTCATGTTCTTTTTGAGACTCTATTGTGTGTCCTCAGGATTGCGAGACTGTTTCCTTTTCCTTTTAGATATTCCCCAGCCCAATAGGTATCTCTTGTGCTGGCCTTCTAATGGAAACGCGTGTCAAGTAGGTAACAAACCGTATCTCAGCTCGGCTGGGCCAGGGCGTTTGCTAAATGCGGGAGGGTAGTTGCAGCCATAACAGTGCGATTTGCTGGTGCGATCATGGAGGCGTTCTTTTCTTTGCGATGGCGGATGGAGGCTCATTGTCGATACTATTGATAAAAGGGAGCATTGCCAGTATAGCGACACTGGGTTTCTTCTTTTCCTCGGTCATCATTTGTGTTGCTTGGTGTATGGAAAAGTTGAGATCTCGAGTCCTCAGATTTGTTGCGGCCCCTGATGAAGTTTGTTTGCTGGTACATCCGTCCACGTTTCAGATCAAGTGCTTTATCTTGGGAAAAGGGTTTACCCATGCCTGTGCCGTGGTAAGTAGCCGGTGGTTTAACTAGCCCTGTTGCCGCTCTTTGAGTTGTGCCACGGATTTGATATTTTGATCCTTTCACCATCTTTCGTCACCATGCTTCCGCCAGGTATATCCACAGTTGTTCTCGTGGCTTTTTCAGCGTCTCAGGTAAGTTCTACTACGTCCATCTCTGTGCATATCAGACACTAACCAGCAGCTTACCTACTCCACGGTTCAGTTCGCAACTGCCTGGCGACTGAATCTGAATCCCCAGAATCTCGACCTCCGATCCGAACCTTCCCCCGTCCGACGCCTCCTACCAAACGCGAACGAGAAGTTAGCACACGTAGTCGAAGAGGTCAGGTCTACCCATATTAGTTCCTCAACATCTAGTTCCTCAACAGAACCACCGCCTCCCCCTCCTCCCACCGAAACCACAGCCACCATCCCCCCCGGCAACCCCGGCAACCCCTCCACCGGCGAGTTAGGCGGTGGCACCATCCCCGGCAACCCGTCCAACGTCGTCACCTCGCTCCTCTGCGGCGAAGCATGGCAAGCGCAAAACGGCGCGGTGTCATGGGCAAACTACGGCGGGATCATGAAGGTGATTAAGGCCGTTAGTATCAGCCAGGCGGAGGCGGTGTGGAATGCGAAGGATATGAATCCGCAGAAGTTCGGGGAGGTGGTGAAGGTGGGGGGTGAAGGAGAGGAAGGCGGAGGGGCAGGGGCAGGGAAGGGGTGTACGGAGGTGGGGTGTAAGGGGGAGAGTGGCGTTTGGTGGTGTGGTGAGGTGAGTTTTTCGTGATCCGTGATGTGATGTTGATGAACGTGTGGTGTGTTGCTGACTTTGTGACTGGAACAGAACGATGGCCCGGTGGAGATTGATCGGATGTTTAGTGTTTTGTGGGGGGCGAATTATATCCTTGAGGAGTGTTTCCCTTTTGTGAACAGGGAGGACGGGAAGGCTATGAAGGAAATGCAAGTTGCTGGTCAGGTGTTCTTTGCGGGTGGGTGGTCGGTTATTGTCAAGGGTGGTATGTGCAAGTAGACCTATGTAGGTACCTAGTCGGGGGTCTGAGGATGTTGGCGTATGTAAGGTAGACAGGTCTTTGTTCATATTATTTCACTGTACTTTGTGATCTTCCCCGTCATTCTCCACGGCATTTAATCTATGTGCACCATGCCTCTCTTATTCTTGCACCAAACCTTATATGTACACCAATGTTACAGACTTTGGCACGTCTTTTTAACGTAAAATAGCATTTACATGGTAAATTCCATGGTGTTACACGTACATGAAAAAAATCACTGCAATGTCCACTGACATAGTTTTGTATGGAGATTTGTATGGCACACAATGTTTTCAACATGGGACAGTTCTATGGCATTCATCTATATACTTCGAATAACCGATACTGACCATACTACCGAGCGGCTCAAAACCCACGACCTTCCATTATTCTTCTTCTCCCATCATGAACTCCCTACCTTTATCCATCCACTCCCTCCTTCGCCCGAGAGCACCATTACCATTACCATTCCCCTCACCACAACCCCCACCCATTTGATCTCTCCTCCCTCAAATGAAAACAGCCCGGCATTCAGCAAGTACCCCCCGTAACAACAACACTATACTGCTGACCCGGCTGCACCCCCTCTGCCCACCCCGTCGCCGCCTTCCCCATCACTTCACTCCCCGTGCCACAGCGATCCATCACCGCCTGCGCGCCGTTCGCAATATCCGCATAGCTATTCAACGTCAATCCCCGATCCGTCTCCTCGTCACACCAAAAGATCGCGCTGTTATAGCTGCAGCTGACCTGCCCACACCCGTACTGGTGGCTCACCGGGTTTCCGGGAAGGCCACGCAGGTACGCGATTCCCTCTCTGATGTGCTTGGAGGAGGCGGGCTTGCCGGTGCCGAGGTTGTCGACTTGGATGCAGCCGGCGGCCCAGGGGCCGGTGTCGGCGATGAGGGGGGTCGCGGTGGCGGTGGAGTTGGTGTCGTTGGTGTCACTGGAGGGAAGGACAGTGAGAGGTTTGGGAGGGGTGAGGATTTGGATCATTGTGGCGTTCAGGGTGGGATCGTCGTCGGGACCGAGGAGCTCGGGGGGCGGGATGGCGTGGACCACGGGGACGGTGAGGGTGAGGGTGGACTGTGGTGATGTTAGATGGTGCGGTTGTGGGGAGGGGGGAGAGGGTTACTTACGAGGAGGATGGCGAGGGAGGTAAGGGAGGTGGTGGAGGTTGATGCACGCATGGTTGCTGGTATGAAGCGAGGGTCGAGAGGAAAGGGTTGTTGCGTGTAAGCTTGGTTGTTCGAACGAAATCTTCCTCTGCCAAAAGATCGAGGATTGGGAGAGTGCGTGTTGGGTTGTCTTGAAAGTGGATGGTAGATCTGTGCTTGAAAGTTGTTGTTGAAAGAGGAGGAGAACCGCTTTGAGGTCTGGGGAGGAGGTTCTTTTATACCCCTCTAGTGGGTTATCCACGTTGAGTTCTGGAAAGTCCTGGAAAAGTATTATAGTTCTGCCGTCAAACGGGTAGACCAGTGAAGCGAGATGATCTGACTTGATCACGACGAAAGATCGGTATAACGAAGCGATCCTGACTTGGTCGCGTCGAGGTACTCAGTAAAGCGAAGTGATCTGACCTGATCACAACGAAAGGTCGGTATACATGTAGCGAACGCGACGAAAGAGTGGACGAGAGAAGTGAAGGAATGCGACAAGGCTGAAGGCTGATCGCGACGAAGAAACGGGCTGAAAGGACGCTGCGGGAAGCGTAAACGAAGGTATTCAGATGAATGCGCTTGCGCGATAGGGCTCATAACCTCTTGGACCGTCACGATAGTAGGGACAAACGAGGCGAGACATGGAGCTGAGGCGGCTCAAGGCATGCTAATCTACCCGTTTTTGCTTTGTTGGTGTATGCTTCTGTCCGGACCTGCCGTGTTTGCACAAGACCATGGCCTCCGCAATATATCTATTCACAGAATGAAACCTAACGACAAGAACTAAAATAGTGTTTGCTCGCCAACCCGCCTTGTATAATAATATCTTCGAGCCTGCGGTTGCTGCCCACACACACCCACGCATGCTTCCACTGACAAAAACAGAACGAACTGGCAGAGTGGAATTAGGAACAGCAGTCCGGCTGATGGACATGAGATGGAGATATCTGTCAAAATATATGCAACAGAGTGGGGAGAGAAGCCATATGATTCAACTAGACCAGACTAGACTACGATGTGACTGCCCTTGATCACTCTTGTATTGACAAGGTAGGTACCTCTACCCATGTACCGGTACGAGCATGAGGCTCAACACCATGAGTGATCATCACAATGTGGTGCTGTATGGCAATCTACTGATTCAACTCTCACAACCATCCGACCTTGTCACTAAATTCACCATCCACCAACATGGTTCCCATAACAAGGTCTCCAGCGCTACATCCATCGACAATCCTTTGTACGTTATCGGTGATTTCAAGCCAGCCGTTCAAAGTGGTTTCATGATCGGACTGGAAGTCGGGAAAGTTAGATTGCATCACCATGAGAGAGAGAGGCAGCGAAAAGAAAGTAAGCCACAAGAACCCAAGAACTCACATTATTGCACATGATGATCTGCCTTGTCTATCACGTTTATCGCTGGAGCACGATGGCGCGAGTTGGCTTTTGGACTGTGAGTTTTTCTGACAGGGGAAAGATAATACATCTTGTAAACTTCCCGAGGTCAATATGCTTAAAACATTAGTCCGGCTTCGCGCGGCCAACATCCATACAGGAGCTCACACAAATACTAAGACACTAATGATGAGACGAGGGGTGTTTTGACTGACCTGTTTGCCTGTCAACATTACTATATCACTATGCAAATCCTGGGAGGCAAGGTTGATTGTGCCAATGGGAATTCTGTTGCTCTATTCCAAACCAGAAAGCAAACAGAGGGTACGGCGCAAAAAAAAAGGACACAAAGGTCTCGAGTGCACATTTGAGTGCGAAGAGTGGCGGAAGGCAAGAAAGTTGGGGCCGAGAATGGGTGTTCATGGATGTAGCTCGTGCGGATTGAGGCCAGATCACGGCAGTCGACACCATAGCAAACCCTTCTCGAGCTCAACCCTGCTCCAGGCTGGCAGTTACCCTCGAGTGAGGCCAAGGTCGTTCTTGAAACATGTTAATCTGCTAACCCCCTTCTAGCAAAATTTCAACGAAGAGGAGTGACAGGCTGAGCTCCGAATTCTGCTCCCGAGAAAAATCGGAACGCGTTGCCTTGTCACGTACCATGTAGAATCTCCAAGGATCGTCTCGTAGAACTTAATATATGGCCTTCGGGGTATCCACGCGATCGCCTAGTCCGTCTCGCTGTAAGGCTCTCGCGTGTTCCTTTTCTATCCCGGCTTCGATCCTTCGTACAGATACGGGCTGAGACAGCAGCGGATCCAGCAGGCTCAGCACGTCTGCCAGAGTATTCCGTGTTATCCGCTGCTCGCAGTCTTGCAACCACTATTCAAGCAGGCAAGGAGGGGAAACCCCAAGGACCGAAAAGAGCGTCTGTCTGTTGCGACATCGGAACCGCCGGTGGTCAAGAAAACAGACGAATGCTCGCAAGGGACAGCAACAGCAGGTGTCGGCCGTTACCGCTGAAGGAGGCTGGCATATTCGAGAAAGGAGCTGTGGAGGACGTCATCGGCTCGCGCTTAGGTCAATGGGCTTTTGTGCATAGATAAGTTAGCTTGGTTAAACGGACGTGATGAACGACTGGAGCGATAGGGAACATACATCAACAAGTTGTTTACCATCGTAGAACGGGACGGGGTGATCTTGACGCGCACTGCTGTTAAGGTGTAGAAGGAGACAGCAATTAAAGTTCATGACACCCAGTATCATATTATAGGGGCAGATTAGCCGGCAGGCAAAGGTGCCGCAGCCGAGGAAAGAACCCGGCATGGGGGCCGGCATAAAAGCTTGGTCACATGTCAAATCACACCACCGCATCACAAACTTCAGACGGAGAACACTATTTGGGTTTTCAAGAGAACAACAACAGTCCATATTAACAGGTCAATCATACTATCGACCATGAGCTACCAATACTCCATATTACCGCAAGATCCTCCACAGATTTACCCAAGAACAGCAACAAATCCAAAAACAAAAACATGGACCTGAGCTGAGTGCCAAGATCCCTAACAGAATCCACCCACCCAACCCACCTGACCCACCACCATTTACTTACCTCTACCGAACACTTACAGCACCACAACCACAACCACAATCACACCAACAACCACTCCCCACCAACCCACCGAAAACACCAACCATCAACCACCTAACGCCTCCCAAACGCAACCCTCCCCCTCTCCTGCACCCTCTCCCTAATCAACACCACCTTCATCCTACACTTAACACTCTCCCGATCCAAACCAGGCCACATCTCCCTCCCCCTCGCGATATCCGCCTCCGTGACGACTACCGTCGGGGGGTCAGACGGGTAGGCACTTCCACCGCCACCACGACCTCCATTACCTTGTCCTTGGGGATTGCTGGGGTGAGGGTTGCGCCGGTTAGGATCACGCATGTCGATTACCAAAGTGCTATCAGACGAGACGTTGGACCCTGCGGTGGAGGCGGTATAGGGGAGGAGTTGCGGGCCGGGGCCCTGGTTTTGAGACTGGGACTGAGAGAACTCGGTCGGGGCATGTGAGTGGCCTTGGGCATTAAGCAACGCCAATTCCCGTCCTGATAAGTCCTTGCCACGACCATACTTCACACTAGGAGCAGCAGGAGCACCGACTTGGCTGAGCGAGTCCTCAGGGCGGACAGTAGAAGCGCGACTGACGTTAGAAGCACGGCTGGCGCGCGAGCTAGTAGACTCCACGGAGCCGACATTGCTACAGGAATCGGAGGGACCGACGTCACGGAGGGAGTGGTACGAACCAGCCTGGGACGGGGAGTGGGAGGCACGGCTGATTTGGCTGGCGGGGTAGTCGATGGCTAGTTGGCCCTGTTGGTTTACAACATGTGAGGGACGGATGGTGGATTGGGAGGCGGTGGAGGGGGCGACGGAGCCGGCGACGGAGGAGCGCATGCGGGCCTCGACGGGGTAGGGGTAGCCGACGCCGCTGTAGTAGGATTCGGGCATTTTGGGGGAGTGTTTGGTGAGGTGGTTTGGGGTTTGGTTGAGGTGAGTTGAGTTTTTTGTTAGTGTTGTTAATTGTTTCTTGCTGGTTGCTCTTGTTGCTGCTGTTGCTGTTGTTGACTTTCGGTTGCACTTCAAACGGGTCGGACCACGCCCAGATTTATACCCCATTCCATCTCCCCCTCGGCCCCTCTCGATCCTTCCTTCGTTCCGTCAACAATGGAATTCTTCACCGATCTCGTTCTCGCTAGCGTAGAGGTATTGACGGGATAGACTCGCTGTTCATGACCAGAACCGAGTAGAAGTCCTTTAAACAATGTGCTTCTTCTCCACTGATTTCTTTCGTGAACAGCCGTCATCCAAGGAACTGACTCGCTCTCTCTTTCGAACTCCTTTCGGACTCCTTGGTTCTCGGCAGATCTTCACCGGGTAGACGTTGAAAGTGACAAACAATGGCTTCAACCCGCTTCAATACCTGGTATGCATTGTCTTGTCCTGGGATAGATAAGTGTCTGTTCAGTTCACAAAGAAGCATATTCCACCAAGGGTCTAATTGTTTCCGTTACAAGGCCTTTGTCTCACTCTCATCCGGCTCGGAAGCTTGGCAAGACTTCGCTCTTCTTTGTTGACGGATTTCCTCTTTTGGTTGGATGCCCCTGACAACTCTGAAGACTTGGCCGACTTGGCTTTGGACCCTAACCCTGTCGTCGTCACTGCATCATTCGGAATTGTTCTGGTCGGACACTCCGCGCTTCAAGGGCCAACCATTCTCTTGTTGGCAGCTGCTCGAGACTCAAAGTATGTAATGAAGTTTATCGTGGCTTAGCGACAGGGTTGACCGTCCCTAGGCAACTGATTCCTCGTTTCATGGCTAGTTCTTCGGAGACTTCGTGTTGGGTTCTTTTGCGATCTCTGTTCTTGCTTTTGTGGTTATCTCCCAGCCCTGGGGGGTGGCACCTCCCTTTCCAATCGCATCAGCGGTTCGACTCTTCTAGCTCACCACTCTCTTTCCTACGACCTATGTAGCACCAATTCAAGCAACGAATGAAGCATTGTCCATAAGCCGAATACGCAGGCCTCCTCGCACTAACTCATAATGGGAACAGTTGCTGGCTTGGTAGCTTCTCAGAGCTTGGCAACGTGGCGCGAGACCCATCATACACCATGTCTAGCCTTATAGGGCGACGGTGAGGGCCACATGTGACAAAGACTGGGCTGTATCCAATGTGGAATTGACGTTGAAACATGGTCGCGGGTATGGCAATTGAGGGGGACCCAAAGATGTGATAAAGTGATTGATTCTGTACTTGTAGAGACCGTCATTCTAGGCGAGATAGGCCATCATTTTAGTCGGTTCGACGGCGAGGGTGACACATGACAAAAAACGAACTGTATCCAATATGTCATTAACGTTGAAACATGTTCGCTATGGTATCCAGAAAGCAATAAGGTATATACAGATGCTTCAACTTCTCAACAGCAAAAGGACATATCCAGCTCATGCCCACCCCACCACCTTCTTCTTCTGCTCCTGTTGTCCGACACCTCCAACAACAGATGTACGTCTCCCCAACGAACCATACGTTATTCCACCATTAACCCTCGCATTTTCTTGAAGGGGCTTCTGTGAACCCCTCGACACCACCCCCGAGGTCTCATACTCCTCACTTTCGTCAACTGGGGGACAGCCTTGTCCACCTCCCAGTCCTATTCCCACCGGTAATTGTTGCGGTGCTGACGTGGGCATCATAACAGGTGGACCAAGAAGCGAAGGTTGTTGCTGGGAAAGCCCCATATCATTGGGAGAGACGAACCCAGGAACAGGTCCAATCGGCATAGTCACCGCTTGAATCTTGTTCGTAAGCGTGGGACTGATCGACCTTCCCTCACCTCCTGGTTGCGAACTACTCAACATTGAGTAAGGACTTCTCTTAATTTGGTCATACGCGCCAAGGCCCGCCCCGAAATGACCGCCAGTCGTTGCAGCAAATGGTGAACCAGCCGGGTCAATAAGTTGCGGCGCCCTTTCGGCCCGGGGACTTCCCTCTCGGGAGCTCATAATGCTGGCTTGAGAGCCTGCCCATGTCTTTTTGCGCAGCTTCTTGATCGAATCGAACTCGTCGTCGTCCATCAGGGCCAGTTGGGCCAGAGTGGGGCTTTGCAGAGATGTCGAATTACGAGCATCGATGGATGGTGGAAGGTTGAGGCTCATGATCGAGTTGCGGTTAGAGTACTCGGACGTTTCCGTGATGGGTGTGAGGGTAGGTTCGCGACAGACGACGCGGCCACTCTTGGACCGGAAGACGCCCTCGCCTGCAGGGCCGAAGTAGCCACCATAAGAATACTGGAAGGGGTTCTCTGAGTCGGGGGGATTGCGACTAGAGGATGAGCTGCCGTAGCCGTGGCCTGATTGGGCCAAGGGAGCAGAGTAGAAGCCAAATTCTTGACCGTACCAACCATCAGAGTCGTTCGCTAGTGCACTAGCGTTAGCTTCGGCAATAATGGCCTCATCATCAAAATCGTAATCGTCTAACCCTTCGCCGAAGCCATCGTCATCGTTCTCATAGTTGTCCAGCTCGTTTTGCTGTACGAAGTCACGCGACTGGGCCGAATCGGTGGGTGACGTGACAGTAGGCTCTTCAGGTACAGCAGGTGACGAACTTCTCCGGAACTTGCCGGATTCTGCTGCTCTTTGGGCTGCTTCGGCCAGGGCAGCCTGGTATGCCATATCAAGGCCAGATATCGACATTTGTTGCATGGCTTGGGTAGGCATCTGAGGGAGCTGGGTAGAAGAAGGGTCTTCTCCAGTAGAGAGGGCATGCAGGGAGCCAGCAACCGTCGACTGCACTGGGTCAACACCAGGGGCAGCTGCGGCATTGGACTCAGCAAGTTGGGCTAGCTGCCGTGCCCGCGCCTGCTCAGCCGCCCGAGCAAACGCACCGGGGATTGGGCGGCCATATTGATCGGTATCGTCGAGATCGAAGAGGGACTCATCAAAATGGGTCCCATCGCCCTGGAAATCAAGTTCATCCGCCAAGCCGTTGTCAAAGTAGATGTCGTTATCATCCTCTCTGCGGGTGGGGTTGGTCGGTGGTAACCCTATAGGAATAGGTTCTGGAGTGATTGGTGCGCGAGTAGTTTCAGGGCTTGATGACTGATGTGGTACCGGAAGAGCTGGTGCGGGAGCAGCCAGGTCAGGCATTGCGGCGCATTCTGGTAAATCTGGAGTACTGTTCTCCGTTACGGATGAGGCGATGGGCTGGTCGGTCTCATTGCTGGGTGTTGAAGCGATGACAGGACTATGGGGTGTAATGGGGCCGGAGCTCTTGTTTGACCGCTGAAAGTCAAACCCAGCGAAGTTCTCTTGATCATTGTCTGGGTCTGTTTCAGGATCGTAGTCGTTGTCTTGACTTTCCTCAGGAAGCTCTTCGTAATCAGCATTGACACCAGGGATGGGTTCCTCTAGATCATCGTAGTCCGCATTAACGCCGGGAATTGGTTCTTCCATGTAGTCCGCGTTGACCCCTGGAATTGGTTCTTCCATGTAGTCATCTTCGTAATCCGCATTCACACCGGGAATGGGCTCTTCCAGACCGTCGTCGTCCATCATGGCGTCATAGTCGAAATCTTCCTCTTCCAGGTCATCAAATCTGGAATCGTGTTCTTGCCTCAGGGCACTTGTGGCACCGCCTCCCTTCTCTCGTTGACGCTGCCGATGTCGTTCTTCCAACGCCTTCTCCTCGTCGGCTGAGCCCATCATGTCGAAGCTGAACCGAGAAGACGTGCTCTTCATGTGTTTTGGAATGCCGGAAAGAGCAGAATCACGGATGGATCGCTTAGAAAGGTTGCGTGATCTGGCAGTTCGGACTGAAGCATTGGCGTTAGGGCCGGCAATTGTTCCGGTCAGAGTATCCTGAGATGCCACCGAAGACGAAGGACCCAGGGCTGGAACGGGATCATCCCTGAGCTGTACTGATGGCCGCGCGTCCTGTTCATCCGGCGAAGGGTTGGCAAGAAGTGGTGATGGTAAGGCATCTTGAGGTATTGATCTCGCGTCACTGTTGCCCCTGGTCGGTCCCGTGTCTTGCACCCCCGACGGAGAGGAAATGGCAACGTCATTGAGACCAGGAGCCAGGGGCTGTGACGTTCCCACCAGGGTGCTACCCGTACTCGCTTCCGCTGTATATGGTTTCGATGCAGCGTCATTACTTGGAGACTCCTTGACGGGACTAACCACCGCCTCATTCTGCGACGTCGTCCGCTTGGGTCTGGGAGCACTGAAATCGTGGACCTTTGTGCCCCGGATACGCGGGTCATAGGTAGGCTCGGCCGAGGAGGACAGGGGTGGCAGATCCGGTGGGTTTTGCGCAGTCTTCCTCCTCATCCACAAATTGGACACCGAGTGCTTCTTGAGGAAGGGCAAGGACTTTTTGGATTTTGCGGATTCCGGAGTGGTGGTAGCTTTGGTAGCTGGCTCGCTAGCCATGCGCTTCCCCGTGGGACGTTTGCCGAAAGGGCCACTGCTATTAAGGTCGGTTGGGGTCACGAAGGACGAGATCTTGCTGAGTCTCGTGGCCAAGGACCCCCGAGTAGCGGCGGTAGTATCGATGGGCGGCGGAGCCTGCTTTGTTCGCGGCTTGTGACTCTCCGAAGGCTGGCTAGAGGCCGAACTTCCGGCGGAGCGATACATCTGTAAAGGCATTCCGCTGACTGAACCTGCTGCGCTGATGCCTCCATTGTCGCTAATATTCGGTATCGGTTTTGGGGTCGTCGATAGGGTGGACGGAATGTGGGAGGAGCTAGCCGATTTGGCTGACTGTGGTCGGCCATCGGGAGCTGTCGGAGTCTGGGATGCTGTATCCAGGTCCAGGGAGCTCACTTGAGGAGACGACGGCGTGGAAGGCGGACGTCGGAGGTGTAGTCGCGACAACATTGTCGGGGCCATCTATTTCGGTGCAACTATCCGCGAGTGTGTTGAAGGTATATATATGTGTGATGGGCTCTCGTACGGCGAGGATATCTGATAGGCGAAGTCTATCGAGGATCGACGTGATTAGGGGGATGGCATCGAACACCCGTATGGGAGCGTGGTCCCGTGGACGAGTCGGGAGTAATTGACTGTAGCTCGATGTCGTTGCTGGGCTAAGTAAACTTCGGTTCGAAATTGTGGTCAGGATGGAAGAGAGGAGAGATGCCGTCGTCGTCGTTGTCTCTTGGTGATGATGTCGTCAGGCGTAGGGCGGGGTCGCGCTAATGTAAGGGGAATCAGACTCTTTCGTTGATTATTCGGGATGGCGATGACCGAGATGAGGTGCGATTACGATGCCGTCCGTCCGGTGTCTGGTCTTGAGCAACGCGCGATGAACAGCAAATGGGTATCCAAAAAGAAAAACAAGCAAAGTGAGGGCGGTCCAGAGCCAGCTTCTTGTCTTTCGAAGGTGTCAATGGCGACAGACTTGGTTGAAGCGAGGGGTTGTTGGAAGAAAGAAAGAGGGGAAATGGGGAAGTGGAAGATTGAAGGAAGGAAGCACGAGTCGTCGTAACGCGAGCGATAAGCGGAAATTGCATGTCGCATCCAATTGCGCGAATGACAGGACCGGATTTGTGAAGATCGAGAAGGTTCAATGTCGTAACTTCCAGGGCTTGTCGGCTTTGTTTCTAGCGAATGACTGCTGAAGATGCGCCTTGGCCTAGGCAAGCACGGCACCTAGCCTAGGTACATTAGCTTGCTGCAATGTGGAGTCTCAGACCTTGTCCCTGTCTTTACCAATTCAGGGCTGGCAATTTAAAACGACTGTGTCTCATATTAAAACGACTGTCTGTACCTGACATGCTGTAAAAACGCCTACCGCGGAGGTTAGGGTCAGGCTTAGTTAGTGTTAGGGTTAGCGGTTAGGGTCAGTTAGGGTTAGTTCCGGGGGTGCAGGGGGCCGGCGAGAGGCCCCCGCGTATGAATGTGAGTTTGACCTTGAAAACGACGCGGTTTTGAGCTTTGAACGTCGTGGTGTTGAACGATGATTCTGGTCATAACTTTTGGTGGTAATTGTGAGCGGACAAGTACCACGGATGCCAAGCTTGGCAGTTCAGTATGGTGGGCCGCGCCAAGGCCGATGGATTTGTGTGGTGAGGGACAGTCGTTCAACTAGGAGACACAGTCGTTTTAACGGGCCCGGCAGAAAATGCCAAGACACGCCGCCAAGACACCTAGCTGCGGGGGTCCATGCAGTCACTGTTCGGTGTTTCCTGGCACGTGCCTGGACCAAGTGTTTTTATTTATCACGTCTTCTCATCGACATCTTCAAAGTCCTTTACCAAGGCTTCAGTTCAAAATCTCTTCTTATCAGCTACGGTTGCTCACAAGAACTAAGCCAAGCCCTATTCTGAAAGTTGTTGATACTCATAAACCTTTGTTTTGTTTCAAGAGGTCTCCGTCCAACTATAACGATCTCCGCCGCATCAAGTTATCCTCGATGCTTCCATCACCACCATCACTAATACTACCTAAATATCAAAATGCCGACCCCTAGCGGTCCAAGAGGTAATGTAAACAAACAGTGGCCTATAACTCCTTAGGCCCTTAACCCTGCCAGTCCCGGACCTTTCTTTCTTTCTTACCTTCCTTACGCCATCGAAAAGTCAACCAACCCCTAGAAAAGCAGACCGAACAGCCCAAGCCCAAAATGCAGTTACAAACCTCCACTCCGTCACCAGTCAACATTGTCCTTCCTTCACAAACCTTCACAGCCATCCATCCATACATGAGAACCACAACCAAGAACCGACCCAGCTTAATCAAAAGCACTAACCCCAGCCTCAACCTCAAACTGATAACCCCCCACACCCACATCCATATGATCCGGCGTCACCTGTCCCACCTGCCCAACATTTCCCACCTGTCCCACACTCCCATGGGGTCCTACCGACCCAATCTGCTGCTGCGCAGGATGCGGCATCCCAAACTGCGCTTGCACGGCCGCCGGATGATGGGCCGCCACAAACTGGCCGGGCGCTCCCCAAGCCGCATGCGCATGCGTCCCCGTCGCCGGGTGCGGCGGCGGCGGAAACATGGCGTAGCTGGTGTAAAAGTAATTGGCGGCCGGACCACCACCATTAACGCCCACAGCAGAAGCGACGGATGTCGGGTCTTCGGCCCCCGTCATGGTGTAACCCGCGGCGGACATGGCTGCGGCGTTGACGGCGTTGACGGCGTGGGGGGAGACGCCGGCCATGGGGCCGTTGTGCGGGGAGTGGGCCATGAATTGGGGTTGGTGCTGGGTGGCCGGGGAGTGATGGCCGTAGTGGCTGTGGGAGTGCGAGTGCGAGTGGGAGTGGAAGGGGGAGGTGGGGATGCCGTGTTGCGCGTACGGGTTCATTTGTTGCGCTTGCGGGTTGTTGTTTCGGGTACCCATCCCGAGAGAGGTCGGCGCGGTGCCGGTGGTGGTGTTGCTCATTTGGTGCGAGGCGGCGGTGGCGGGGGCCGAGAGGTGCGTGGAGGAGCCGCCTACTATTGAGAGGCGGTTACGTCCGCCGGGGCCGTTGGAGAGCTCGGAGGATGAGGTTTCCGTCGAGAGGTGTCCGTGTAGCGAGACGTAGGCTTTAAAGGTTTGTTGGACGACGGATTTGAGACGCTCGCGGACGATGTCGGTCCCCATCGAGGAAAAGTCAATGTCTTGATGCTGGATTTTGTGGTCAAGAATGTCAAGGAAGAGCTTGGAGAAGGCGTCACCGTCTTTGGATGGGGAGAAGGGAGTGATTCGGGGTTTGATGTCGTGCCCTGGCTATTTGTCAGTGATCCCGGGTCCGTGAGAAAAGAGAGGGAAAAGAAAGGCATACTCACAAGGCGTTTCGGGACGATTGGCACCGGGAAAAAGCACGTCCCAGATCTCAAACCACTTCTCCAGCTTATGCGCCTCCTGGTTCTTCTTGCGGTTTTGCCGCTCGAGAGCCGCCCACTGGACTGCATCAATGCCTTCCTTCTGGGACGGATCCCCCAGGTCGCACGCGTCGCTTTCTTTCTGGTGTTCCGATAAGTTGGCAAGACAAGTTGCTCGATCTGTCCCCGGGAAGATCTTGTAGCAGCGGTTACATTGGACGGGTGAATGCACCCGTTTCAGGTGTTCCCTATATCACCGGTCGGTTAACTCTGGACACGCACACCTTCACGATAAGGTAAGTCTCCGGGACGCGGGAACTCACTTTAACCGCTGGATACTCTTAAACCCCGGCCCCGTACACGCCCTGTACTTGTGTTTCTTCCCATTCGCCGAATTGGTCTGCTGAATCCCGTATTTTTCCGGATCGCGCTTGTGGAACGGACATGCCAGCATCGGTTGGGACTCCTCGTTGCCAGCCACGCCGGGACCAGATCCTGTGTCGATGTTCTTATCTTCGTCTTCATCGCCGTCATCACCACCACCACCATCACCGCCTCCGCCTCTACCACCACCGCCTCCTCCCCAATCACCACTGCCTCGTCCACCTCCTGCACCGTTACCGAACCCCCTTCCTTCCCTACCTCCTCCATCCGAGTTAGACCGCCGCCTCCTCTTCCGCGAGTTGCCATTCCCGTTACCCCCAGAGCCCCCAGGTGGAGAATTCGTATAAGAGGATTTCTCACCCCTCGACGCATCCGAATTGCCCCTCTCTCTGAGGTTATTCCCCCCATGCGCCCCACCACCACCGTTACCACCACTGCCACTACCGCTCGTATTCCCAAACTGCCAACTCTCAACCTTATTCTTAACCGCCAGGTTATAATCCCTATGCAGAATCGGAATCAAATAAGCAGCCAGCGGCAGATCCCCATTGACGGCCTCAATCACCGCCGACTCCAGATTGCCATTCTGCCCAGACCAGTCGTTGTCGTCTTCCTCTTCTTCTTCTTCCTCTTCCGAGGAGTTGTCGTCAAGGTAATCACCCATAATGTCCATGTCGTCGTCTTCCGACTCGCCGCTCTCGGCGTCGGACTCGCACGACATCATGTCTTCTGCCTCCGCCGAGCGGGGATGAGGATGCGGAGCTGAAGAGTCGACGGCGAACATGGCATTCCGTAGGGAGCTGGGACGCGAAGGCGAGCGCGTTCCTGACGTGCTGTTGCTGCTGCTGCTGCTTCCTCCGCTCCCGGGGCCACCACCGCCGCCGTTACCGTTAGGTGCGTTGTACCGGCCCTTTTTGGCGGGGCGGCCGCCGATGGTGAAACGGCTGACGGGGGTGATGGGGGATCTTGATGATGATGATGATGATGATAATGATCTGAGGGAATGTTATCAGCATCTAATCATCTACCGTATATATCCATATCTGAATAAACAAAGAAGATTTTGCGTTTCGGAAAAAAAGGAAAAAAAAAAAAAAAAAACATACTCATCATTCCACTTTTTCCCCATCCCCATCCCCACACTCTCACTCGGCTCCAAATCGCCCTCAGGAAAGTTGCACTCGGTAGCCGTACTCGGCGGATTCGAAGTCACCCAGCTGCTGATGGACGCAGCGTAGCAGTTGGAACCCAGGTCCGAATGCGTACCCGGTGAAGGCGAGCGGGAGCTGGCTGATGTTGCTGCCGAGACCGTGCTGCCGCTGCTTTTGCGGGCGGACCAGGCTGTTTCACTGTGACTGTGACTGTGACTGTTCATGGGGGTGTGTTCGGGCTTGACGAAGGAGGCTAGATTGGGGTGGTGATGTGGTTGGGGGTGCTGATGCTGGTGCTGGTGTTGGTGTTGGTGTTGGTGTTGATAGGTGGGGTGGGGGGAATGCCATTTCGTTTGAGGTGTTGTTACTTGTTGCTGTTGTTGTGTTTGTTGTTGTTGTTGTTGTTGTTGTTGCCTTCCGTAACTGACGCCGTCTCCTGGGGTGGCCGCTGAGAGCGGCCCTGTGTGGTGTCGAGACATTGTTTTGATGGTGTTGGCAATGATAATGATGATATGCAGTGTATTTAAGGTCTGTTGTAGAGAGAGGTAGATAAGGTATAGATAGATGGGTAGGAGGGGATGATGGTGGTTGCCTGTGAGGCCTCTCACTGATGCTTAGGATGGATCGATGATGAGATAAAGTATGTGGCAAAAGTGGTTGTAGGAGGAAAAGAAAATAAGTTTGGGAAGAAAAGAGGATTTCCTTTCCCCTCCCTCACGAAAAAGATGTAAGTAGGGGGACCAGAACAACGATCCGGGGCATAGCCCTCCCTCCCTTTTTGATGACCAGATATGTGGTCGGAAGGGGGGGATCAGACCACGAGCCCTACCTGTGTGAACCTGGGCCGTGTCCGCCGGTCCGTTGGCCGGGGTCCTGTCAGTCTGTGTTGGATTGGATCATCCTTCCCACAATCCCCGCGGACGCGGACGCGGGACTAGGAAGGGAAAGCCGCCGCCCATTCTGTGTGCTGTGTTGCTGATGTGGAATCACCAGAAACAGTTGTTGAACATGGAATGATGCTGGTATGTTCGCAAGTTTCCAGTTGCTCCATAGCGTTCGAGGTGCTGTCGACGATGGCCTAAAGTGCGCGCTGACGCATTTGCGATGGTGGGCAGATTATAGATGGATGCCCATTGGATTGTGACCCGAAATGGCCCTCCCACCCACGGATTTATCGCTCGAGTTACTTTTGTTTTTTGTTGCAACTTGAAGAGACGGTTTTCAGAGTATGCGGTTCCCTGACACCTCTTCCCTGTCCGGTTCCTGCAGCGTCCATTGGATCGTTGGATGGTGCATAATACCACTGTAATACAACGCCACGTCGCCCTCTGAACTCTGAAAAGTCGAACCCAAGATGTTTTAGACTGGTGAACTGAGAGGCCCGCCAACGAGCCCAGCCGGCGCGCTTCCTGGCATTGCGTTACAGGGGGTGGCTTTTAGTGCTGTTGGGCGGTGGACATCAACATCAACAAGGGAATGGGACAAGAGCCGGTGATCCTCCACGCGCACTTGCGATGGACTTTGTCACCAGGACAACGCTTGTGGGGAGATGACGAGGGCGAGAGGGTGAGTGGAAAAGAGACAAGTGTTTGTTTTTCCTGTTTTCTAGGGAGACCGGATGATGAGAAGGAAATTGGAACACAACACAGAGTCGGCCAACATATCGTGACGGAACTCTCTCTTTATTTCCATGTCCACAAGCGAGACCTCCTGCACGCGTGCAAGGGTGCCACCACAAATCGATTACCCGTCCTCTCATCCCGGGTCGTTGGCCACCGGGAACTTCATATGTTGGCTATTTGGGGGCGCATCACGGTCAGCAGCCAGTTCTCGGAGAATAAAGGAGGGGCGAGAGGGAGACCGGGGAAACTTCAAGTCGTCTATTCGACGCAAATGCGATGCACCAACGTTGGACGTCAACGTCAGGGGCCGGCGGCTTTACCGTATGTTTGTAAACAGGGCCAGCCAGGGCCCAGGGGGTGAGTGGACGACGCTCCGGGGTTGAGGCACCGGGGACAGCATGTCAACAATGTGGATGGGCCTCCATGTGTCAGAGGCCAGGGGATCCACTGGGCGTGCACGTGCCCAGTTGGGCTGGGATATGAGGGATTTATCCAGATGCCAGAACTTCGAGTCTGTAGAGCCAGTCTTACACACACACACACAATAAAGCCACGTTGAACCCTATATCAATTATTACTAGTAATATTACAATTAAGAATTTTATTGATTCGACCGTTGAAGCTATTGCTAGCAACAACAACCTATTAAACGATTACTAATAATATTTACGACTAAAATCAATAGCGTTGCCCTCAACGGCCCTAGGAATTGGCCGGCTTGGGAAGATGCCTTTATTTTTATAGCCTAAGACCTGGGTCTCTAAAAATATATCGACCTAAATAACCGCGTTCCTTTGCTAACTAAATAATAAAACTTAATATCGCTAGCTATTAAGAGGAGGTTCCCGCTAGAGAAATTAGAAAAATTAAGAAGGATAGGGAGGCTACCTTATTTATTACTATTAAATTTTACAGTTTTTATTATAAGCGCGACTATTATAACTATATAATTAAAAAATCGAATTAGCGTATAGAAGTTAAGACCTTCTTTAACCTAAGTATTAAAAAGATTATGTTAAATCGTTGGATATTTAAAACTATTGGAAATAATTATTGGGAAATTAATTTTATTAAACGTATTAGTCTAGACAAATAGTACGATAATTTTAGTAAGTTTATTACTTTAACGATTATAAGGTAAAGAAGTTCGCCCGAATTGGATTTATTAATATTTTTAAGCCTTTTAATATAGTTAACTGTAATTAGTATAATTAGACCTTTTATTAGGAAGCGGCTATAGCCTGCTATATTACTAGAGGAATTATTGGAGTAGATGAATTAGATTTGTAGTTCTTAGAATTCTATATAATTATAAGGTCGAGTCCTTATACTACTTAAGTAAATAATTACTAGCTCTAGTATAATAAGAAGATTGAGAGAAATTTTAATTTTAAAATCTCTTTCCGTATTATAGTGAAAGACTTTCGTAAGGTAGTAATAGTAAATGTTATTTAAGGAAAAGGTTGCGCTCCTTTACTTAAGGGTATTATATTTGTAATTATATTAGGTGGTAAATTTATTAAAAAGGACGTTCTTGATAATGAATAAAACCTTAGCCCGGAGGTAGAAGGATAGGGAGAGGCTATAAGTAAGAATGGTAAATTTGGGAAGAATATTAATAAGAATAAGCGTACTTCCTTTTTGTCTTTACTAATAAATAAACGATTACGTCGATCCTTATATAAGTTCTATAAGTAGCCGGGCTATAATTTGGATAAACACTACTATATTAAGTTATACTTAGCCTATAAAGGTTAAATTGAAAATCCTATTATTAAAGCGCGCGTATACTAATTTAAAAAAGGATAAAATATTTAAAGAGGCTATTAACCATTTACGAACGTAACGGGACAATTGTGACGGCGCTGGCAGACTAGGTCTGGGTGCTATGTACGAGGTGGCTGCTGGAATGAGGTACATAGAGGATTCTAGGCATAGTACGGTCTAGGGGATATAAGCTATTTAATTGGCTATACTAAGACTAGTTGTAGGGTAGATCTTAGCACGTATAGGGTTTGTCCTGTAGGTAAAAGGAATACAAGTAAAGGGATTAGCTAACAGCGACTCGTATATAGGTCCCGCTATCGCTTGTATGACTAGGGTATTTATTTGGGTTTATACGCTTGTACTTAATTCTTTTCCTCTTTTTTTTCCCTATTTAAAACCTTTTATTATAAATAGAATTTTAACTTTACCTTCAATTTACCTATATTATACCCTTATATTATTTCAAAAAAATCCAATAATTACCTAGGAAGGTTAAATCCTAAATCGAAATTAGAAAGATTTGTCGTAAGAATTTAAAATATTGAATATTTACGATAATAGTACGATGGCGCCTCTATACTTAATACGTAATAGCGCCGGAAATTATAAGGGTACTAAATAGATTAAGAATTACGACGATTATTATAATAAGGATATTTTTAACGACGATTACAATGATACCTTTTTTAATAAGGAGGGTAGAGATGACGACAGAGAAGGAGATTTTAGCTTTCTAGATCCCAACCTAGTATAAGAGGAGGATACGGTTATAAAACCCAAGCCTAAGAAGAAGGTCGCTATTAACGAAAAATATAAGTTTATCGATTTTATTATTAAGGATAACGTATATAAGGTTATATATTTCGATAAGGAATACTATAATAACCTTTACTTAAACGAAGAATGTTCTTACGGTAAATTTATAATTTTTTATAAGAAGTCTTTATACTATATATACTATTAATTAAAGTTACCTAATAAAGTATTAGCCGATACCGTAACTAACTACGAAAATAACAATAAGGAACCTGAATTATTTTTCGACTTATTCGATTAGTATAGTATTTAAGTAGTCGAAAACAATAAAACCTTCGATGCCCGCTTAATTAGGAAGGAGGTTATCAACAATTTGAAGTAAAAAATAGAGGAATTTATTAAATTATTTATTCACAATTCCGTCCCTAGCATTCTCTTTTAAATATTCATCCCCTTTTTAAATTTCTTTTTCTCCGATTACCTTACGAAGGAGAAGTTTATTAAATTGTACTACGGCGACCTCAAAGCTATATTTTAGGAACTTAAGTTATTATTTATTATAAGTATAGTACGAATACAATAAGTATTAGGATTTTAGTATTTCGTCTCCTATTTGAATATTAAATTTAAGATTATTTAAAATTGGGTCCTTATTTTGGTTAATTATTATAGCGCTGCTACCCCCGCTATAGTCTAATAATTGAAGGATTCTTTTGTGGAGAAGGAAGATACTATTAAGGGATTGAAAGATTTTATTACTAATTTGAGTATTAGTAAAGGAGTAAATAAAAATAAGGGAAAAGTTAAAGAGATGGTATTTCTTAGTATTAAGAAGGACGCTAGCGAAGCTCTCCTTAGAGTTTCTACCCGCTTTTCGACTTTATTATTACAATTTATTTATTTCTTTTAAATTATATTATATAAATTGTTCCGGTTTTAAATAAATATTAAAGATTATTACCAATAAAAATAAAAATACTTCTAAATCGATTAAGAATAATAATTCCAATAGAAGTAATAAAGAATCCGGTTTTAGCTTTACTTTTAAGCCTAATAGTAGAGGTGAAGGTAGTAGAGGAGGTGTTATTCGTTAGGGTAGCGATTGCGAAGAAACTATTTAATTATTTAATAAGGGTAGATACTTCTTTTATAAAGAGAAGGGTTATATTAAATACAATTGTTCCGAAAAGGAACATTTCGACCGCGAATATTGCGATTATATTAGTACTATTATTAACCATTATTTAGTTTACGAGAACGGATAGGAGGCTTTAGCCGCTCTGGCCGTAATTCTAATTAACGAGTAGGGAAATTAATTACCTTAGGTAAATTAG